GAATGTGGTCAATTGTTGAGTAGCCTGTTCTAAATCCTGCTTGTTCCTTTGGTTGATTGAATTCTAATGTTTTCTTTACTTTGTTAGCAATTACCTTTGTAAATAGCTTGTATACTACAGAGAGCAAGCTGATCGGCCTGTAATTCTTCAAGTCCTTGTCATCTCCTTTCTTATGTATTAAGATGATGTTAGCGTTCTTCCAAGACTCTGGTACCCTTCTCGTCAGGAGACACCTCGTAAACAGGGTGGCTAGTTTTTCTAATACAATCTGTCCTCCATATTTCAGCAGGTCTGATGTTACCTGATCCTCACCAGCAGCTTTGCCTCTTTGCATGCTCTCCAAAGCTTTTCTGACTTCTTCTATCATTACTGGTGGGGTGTCATCTGGCTTACTGCTAGTTTTTATAGTATTAAGGTCGTGGTTGTCTTGGCTACTGTACAGATCTCTGTAAAACTCCTCCGCTATTTTAACTATTCTATCCATATTGGTAGTTATTTTGCCTTCTTTGTCCCTTAGTGCATACATCCGACTTTTGCCTATCCCAAGTTTTCTCTTCGCTGCTTTGACGCTTCCTGCATTTTTCAGAGCGTGTTCAATTCTCTTCATGTTATACCTTCTTACATTGCATACCTTACGCCTATTAATCAACTTCGAAAGCTCTGCCAGTTCTATTTTGTCTGTTGTACTTGAGACTTTCATAATTTGACGCTTCTTAATTAGGTTCTTCATTTCCTGGGAAAGCTTGCCAGTGTCCTGTCTAACTACCCTGCCTCCAACTTCCACTGCACACTCCGTAATGATACTCGTCAGATTATCATTCATTGTATCTACGCTAAGGTTGGTTTTCTCACTAAGAGCCGAGTACCTGTTCTGCAGCGACACTCTGAATTCCTGTACTTTCCCTCTCAGTGCTAGCTCATTGATTGGCTTCTTGCGTATCAGTTTCTGTCGTTCCTTCTTCAAGTCTAGGCGAATTCCAGACCGTACCATTCTATGGTCACTGCATCGTACCTTGCCAACCACTTCCACATCCTTCACGATTCCTGGGTGTGCAGTCACTATAAAGTCTATTTCGTTCTTATTTTTGCCATTAGGGCTCCTCCATGTCCACTTGTGGTTTTCTCGTTTTCGGTAGAAGGTATTCAAAATCCGCAAATTATTGCGTTCTGCGATTTCTACTAGTAGCTCTCCTCTGGCGTTTCTAGTGCCGATGCCATAATCTCCTACTGCCTGGTCTCCAGCCTGCTTCCTCCCTACCTTTGCATTAAAGTCGCCCATCACTATAGTATACTGTGTTTTTACCTTAGTCGTTGCCGATTCCACGTCTTCATAGAAGCTTTCAACTGAAGCGTCATCATGGCTGGATGTAGGCGCGTAAGCCTGTACTACCTTCATCTTGTATCTTTTATTCAGTTTAATTACAATACCTACCACCCTTTCATTATTGCTATAGTATTCCTCTATGTTGCCAGCTATGTTTCTGTGAATTAGGAACCCCACTCCCAGTTCTCTTCTGTCTGCCAAGCCTCGATAGCAAAGTACGTGCCCATTCTGTAGCACAGTATAGGCCTCATCTGTCCTCCTAACCTCACTGAGCCCTATTATATCCCATTTAACACCCTCTAGCTCCTCGAATAGTACAGCTAGACTTCCCTTACTAGATAAGGTTCTAGCGTTAAATGTTGCCAAGTTCAGGTTCCAATGGCGGCCTGTCCGGATCCAGATATTCTTAGCACCCTCTGCTGCTTTGCAGATCTGACCGCCGCCGTGGTCAGTTGCTTCGCAGCTGCTGGGGACTGAGGGCCGTGAGTTATTTGACGTATGCATGTGGGAGGTAGTTGCCAGATACTGCACCAGGGTGGCCAATCCTTCTCTGGTGAGGGAGTGCGTTCCCGGCGGTGGTTAACGATGAGGCCGCACCCCAGGCCTCCTAATGCAGTTCCATCAACACGCGGATTTTTTATTTTATTATTAATCCGGTTGGGAACTGCGCGGCACCGGGATTTGAACCACAGACCTTTTGCATGTGAGGCGGATGCTCTAATCACTACGCCATCGCCGCACCCACTATAACAATTACCGCATTGTAATTTAAACGAATTGGGAAGCGTTGATTTAAACGTACAGTCGAATCTAGTATAGTACAGTGTCCAGTAGGCCTGAATTCGGATGTTCCAGATACTTTGGCGTGTCACACTTGTAATACGAACTTAAGTAGCAAACCATTGAGCAATGCTTGAGAAAACGTATTGGGAGCTTCGCAAAAACTCCAACAAAACCGTGGTCACTCAACATGATCTGATTGAACACCGAAAATGCACTAACATCCAACGTTCACCCAGTCAAAGTGATGCTTATTTCCGTAAACGTTGGCAGCAAAAATGTTAAAGATGCAATCATTGATAGTAAAAAGCGACATAGTTTAGAACTGTTACCCGTAGTTATTGAGAGTGATACCGCAGTCTCTGCGACGCGATTATGAGTACTTCGAAGATACGTGGCCAACGCAGCGGTAGATAAAAGGCAATGAAGGCGTAAGAAAAAGACATGAAGCGTTTCTGGATTCATGTCATTCTTTGCTTATTACTACGATGGAGCCGACTTTAGCAGTATTCTATTCAGCTGGCCTGAAGCGATGCTTTGGTGCGCATTTCTGTGATCAGCCAGCTGTGCCATTCCCTGGTATGTTCACATGTGTCCCAGAAGGCGAGTTCTTATGACGGAAAGAAATATTTTGTGCATATATCGGTTCAGAAAGCAATGCTTGTTTTTGTATTATATGAAGTTTCGAATGATGATGTATTTTTAATCCCACTTTGTACGTATCACGGAGATTCAGCTGTAGCAGGGACACATCACCTGCGTTGTCTACAAGTGATTATAAGATTGCACTGCCATTGTTTACGCTTACAGGACTGTTCGGGACCCCCTCCCCCCCTTTTTTTTTCGGCAATATGTTTCGTTAAAAAATGCAAAGAAATGTAACCCCCTCACCCGCCCTCGTTGCGCTAATCTGGATTTAAAATCCTTAAATATGGCAGGTATGGTAGCAGTTTCGCTACCTGCAAGCCTCATGTGGCTCAACATGGCAGTCCGTGCTTATCAACTGTCGGCAAAAGCGTCATTATCAAGTTTCTTATAGATATCGCCTCTCGTCTGCAAATTTAAAAGTCTTACAGTTTTATGACGCGAGCTTTCGCCTTTGTCACCAGTGCGTGGTCCTAACATAAAGTTGGTGGCCTTTTGTCATTCTTGATCTCCCAGCTGCAAATGTAAACTTTTTATCAAGCACGTTGTTTTTGGCTCGGCACTTGAGTGCGATTTTTTCGACTGCTGATCTTCATGTCTTGGACAAAGTTCCTGCGACAACATGTCGAACGGCAGGCTTGGCCTAATCACCATTGGTTGTATTTTGGCTGTTGTCACATGCTATTTAAAGTTCTGGTTTGGTACGAAATGAACGTAACTTTTTACAGTGGCTGCTCGTAAGGGGAAGAGGTACATATCAATAATGATAATGTGGGTGGCATGTGTAGCCCTCAAATGGTGGTTTTTCAATTCTATTGCAACGTCTTTTAATCATGTAACCAAGGGTCTTCTCGTTGGCTCAATGGTTTTGCTCACCTCTCCGGTTTTCCTCCCCAATGAGGGTTGCTTCTCCCACCAATGGATAGTAAGCCTGCCTTTCTCCGTGCCGGGAAGAAGGAATAGCGCACGCTGGCTGTGCAGTAGATGGCTCTCCGAAAAAGACTTCATTGTCTTTATCTCAAAAGGATCGACGTGTCGTCACAGCTAAACTGGCCACGTTGCCATAAAAGGAAAGGAAGCCTGGGCGCACGTGCTTCCCCACAAGTCTCAGTTGCGCCACAAATATTTCATTAAACTATGCCCCAACTCGCCCAACTTGCCCACATACCAGCTAATGTGTGAATCATAGGCTTCTAGAGCATGTGCACTCTTTAACTGATCTGTGGCCCAGTCACTTAGATCAGCACTGCATAGCATGTGGCTGTCAGCCAAATTTTGAACAGTGTACCGTTTTATGAAAATGAAAGAGCAAGGACCATGAAAGGTAGACAAAGGTTACCGTATTGATGCACACGAGAATGCTTGTGCCAGTGTGCCATTGCTTTCTATGCATAACAGGGAAATAACTTGTTGAAAATGTGACGTCGTATTGTGCTGATGCATGTTACATGGTAACATGTCTGTTTCCACGTAGTTCCTGTCTATTTTTTTTCTTTAGTATTTTGCACAAAGCATCTGTATATAATACACATTCCAGCAGGTTAGTTCAGTGCCCTGTCTAGCTTTTTCGTCCTGTACCAAGCGCTGTCTGTACCTACCTTAACTTTTGCTGCATCACTGTGATCTGTTTCCCATTCCTTCTGCAGCCCTCAATCGCTATGGCCATTTGAATAAACAAAAGTACTGTTTTTTTAAAAGTTGCTTTCAGATGGCCACTTGTGCATTACATTCAATTGTTGATTAAAATGGTTCTTTAAAAATAAGTGAAGTTGATACGTGCGTACTTGGAAGGTGTCCTAGAAATAGGCAACCTCAACGTTGATTCAACAGTGGAAATCTGAAGACCTTGCTAAGAATGAATTTTTCACTTTACATGCCTTCAATTTCAATCATTTTCCAAAATGTTAAACATTTTTGTTCACATTATAGTTTTAAAAGAAATATCATCCTGATACTGAAATTTGATGCACAAGATAAGTTTTTAATTGTGAGACACTGCTTTAGATGACAATTGAAAAGTACTACCACTAATGCCTTTGCTAACTTTGCGTAAACTTTTAAAGGTAATCTGTTTAGGAATGGTATTGCAATTTTGGGTGGCCTACTCTGCAGTGCCGTGTCTAGTTATGATTGTTGGGTATGTGATAACAGACATTATAAAACACTCTATGTCCTGTATAAAGCACTACTTTTTTATGTATAATATAAAGAACAACATTTACATTAATTCCTGATTGCTTTGAATTTTCAGATGTACGAAATTTTTGGTGCAGAGCTTCTTGGTGTGATTCATGATATCCTCGAACACCGTAAAGAGCTGGTGAAGGCTATGAACGCTGCTGCACTGAACGTGGTGGACACTTTTTCGGATGTGGTTCCCATTTACAAGAATCAGCCTACAAAGCCTGCATATGGCTGCCAAGTTACTATTCAGGTGAGAACATGTTATTGCACTTGTTATAGTGCTTTGACTGGGTGAGTTGGTACATACTCCAAGGAATGCTGTGTGACTTGAACAATGACAAGAAGGCACATAGAAGATAGATGAGTTTACTTCACACTTGAACAGACCTTTTTATGCACCATATCTAAAACATTGATACGAATGACAAAATATTGAATGAAACACTCAAAGATGCTATAGGCAAAAATCTCATGTTAACAGAGATAAAAATGCTAGCGTTGATGTGCACTTATTGTAATTTTTATTTTTGTTTTTGTACCCGAAGCACTTGCATCAATAATGGGAAGACCAATAACACTGCATTGTACTTGGAAAATGCACTCAAGAAGAACAAAACCAAATGTGCAAAGGGCATGAATTACAGTAAAAGCTCGTCAATTCGGACTTCACGGGACCGGAAAAACTGTCCGAATTTACCGAATGCTGAATTAACGAATGAACAGGGAAAACAACATTTAAAATCAAGCTGCAGAAGCATACCTTTATTTGTTGAAGTATTTCGTAATTGTCGCGCAGATTCCGGCTGACATCACAATTTTTCTTAACTGTTCCAAATGGCCAACAGCATGCAAGCTGTCGGGGGTGTTCAGGCAAGCGTCCTCTAATATTAACAGCGCCTCCGAGACTTCCCGTGAGGTGCGATGAGGTCACGGCTGTATCTCCTCGCATGATTCTTTGTCGGAATCGTGGTCTTCATGGGCGCCCGTAACATCATTAATAATCTCTTGATCAGTCAGGAGACCACTCGTGGCAACACCATGATCAATCGCGATGTAGTCCTGAAAGGTCACATCTGTGGGAAGGACAGCATCGAAAGTCGGGCAGTCATCGTCGGTGGACTCGGCTGACACCTCCTCGATGCCATCGTCAGCTACTCGGGCCTCACAAAACCGCTGTGCCGAAAACAGTTGGCAATGACTTGCGGCGAAGTGTTTTTCCACACGTGGGCGATGATGTGCACTGCGCCGAGTAAGTCCACTTGATACAACTTTCCAGCTTCTGAGCATAGGATCATTCGCTCTAGCAGGTGCTTGCGGTACTTCGACTTCACGTAGTGAATGATACCCTGGTTCATCGGCCGAAGAGCAGACGTAGTGTTGGGCGGCAAAAAAACTACTTTGATGCTCTTCAGTTCGACTGTACAGCTATGGGCACTGCAGTTGTCAACAACCATAATTATCTTGCGGTCCTTCGACGTGAAGTGTCGGTCCAACTGCTGCAGCCAGCCGCGAAAAATGTCCGATGTCATCCATGCCTTTCTGTTCGTTGTGTACTCGACAGGAAGGCTTTTGACGTTCTTAAAAGAACGTGGCTTAAGCGCCTTCCCGACGACAAGTAGTGGCAAGCGCTCCGTGCCAGTCATATTGGCGGCAAAAAGCACAGTTATCCTTTGCTTGCACTTCTTGCCACCAATGCACGCGTCCCCTTTGAAAGTCACCGTCTTGTCGGGCAGAGCTCTGAAAAATAGAGCAGTTTCATCAGCATCGAACACGTCACGTGGTTCATATGCGGCGATGTGCTCCAGCAGCTTCACATTTCTCCACTTGGTGGTCACGCTTTCGTCAACACTGGCCTTTTCGCCACACACACTTCTGAAGACAAATTCGTGTCTCTCTCGAAACCTCGCAAACCACCCTTCTGACGCTTTGAACGATTCAATGTTCATCATTGCAGCGTACTTCTCACCTTGCGCCATGATGAGAGGTCCGCTCAAAGGCAGATGCGCGTTGCGACAGTCAGTAATCCACCGGAGCAAAGCTTCTTCGAGCTGGGGATGAGCTGCGGTTCGCAACCGCTTTCTAGAGGCATGAAACTTCTCGCTTTCGAAGGCTTGTCGAATCTGTTGTTCATTTTTCACGTACGTTTCCAACGTGCTCCGCTTCACGTTGTACTTGGTCATAACCTGCTGTCGCGATTCGCCTTCTTCAGTGCTTCCAAAACTTCCACTTTAGTCGCCGAGTTCTTCGCGTCGTAGTTCTGCCGCTTTTTCGGCGTTGCCATCACTGTAGCGCACGATGGTTGTGGCATGCAAATACGGTCACAATGGAAGGAAAAGAGAACTCCGCAAGAAGAGGTGGTTCCGACACGACAACACAAGAGAAAATGGCGTCGGAGGCGCTGAGTGGAGAAGAAAGAAGACGCAGACGTGCGGTGACACTGCGATCGCCCCCACTAGTTGATGATGATGGCGATGCCACTCAGGTTTCGGTTTCACTCCAGTGGTGCCAGTGCTGATTTATCACACTTTTGTGTAGCAGCAGTCGTCAGCATATGTCCGATTTAAGCGGTGCGGAGCCGATTCCGACGAAATAACGAAGGTTTGGTCCCATAGATTAACATGCACTTTGGCCGGGACCAATAGAGCCGTCCGAATTATCCGAATTTCTGAATTAACGGGTGTCGAATTAACGAGCTTTCACTGTACTTAGTGACTGGTTCTGGTGATAAGCGCACGTACCTCAGCAAATGAATGTGTCTCCAACAACAATATGTAAAGAGTGCGTGAGGAGAAAAAGACCAAAAGTAACAATCTAGAGAAGCGGAGTTAGCATCAGTCAGTAAGACGTAGTGAGGAACAAAAGCAACAAGTACAAATAAACAAACAAAAAAAATGGCCGTGTATCTGCATGTTTCACCGCAAAGGACGTCGAAGGTGTTCTGTCTGGAGGCGCTGCATCAGGTACGGACGTCATCTGGCAGTGTAAATTTGTTACGTTGGGCGCTAGATGAGGGGGGTCTGCCCTATGTACAACTCACGCAGAACCTAGCTGATGTTTCAGCCGTACACAGTTGTACCTTGCATGAATAACGACTTTGTCCCCTAGCTAAGTCGTCGCAGCTACACGGGTTCGGCTGAATAAGGCTACTGGCTAGGTCTACAAAACAACATTTTATTGCTGCGTTAGCATTAACGCGTAAATGCTGCGTAGAGGGACTGCCTGCTCTATAAAGATATTAAAGGTTAGACTGTTACGCCTCTCGTCGTCGATCTCCTTGGCTCGCAGGGGGTATTCGGGGTTTGTTTTCAGTCTGGTGGTTGGCGCAGAAGAGAGCCTGTCGTTGTCGGCATGCTCGTTCTGACCAGCCTCCCGGTTTTTCTCTCCCTTGTCAGAGTTAGTTCCCTTGCCGAGGGAGGGTAACCCATCTCGCGTGCCGGGAAAGGGGAATAGTGTGCGCCGGCCGCGGGGCAACAGGTCCCTTCGATCGAGGCTTCATTGTTTCGTTTCTTGAAGGGACAGACCTGTCCTCGTAACAAGGCTACCACGCTGCCATATATATATATATATATATATTATGAAGTCTTGGTAGTCTTGGCTGCGTCAGCGTTTATTTGAGGAAAGACCTCGCAAAACAAACGGGCAGAGCCAGTACACCGACGATGACGATGATGATGACCCAGAGTGGCAATGAGGACAAAGAGACAAGCTGATGATGGTGATTGTGATCATGCTGGAATGATGACGATGTAAGGAACAAATGCCCACACTAATTCCCCCCACTTAGAAGCGGACACCCTGGCCGCCGTAAGTCAAAGTGACGGGGAACGTCGCGTGAAAGGTTTCATGCGACAAATGTGGACAATCTTTGTGCTGCGGTAGCGGCGGTCTGTTGGGGCGACGAGTGGTGTGACACGATAATTAACTGGCGAAGTCTGTTCTAAAACAATGTATGGCCCGATGAAGCGTGGTTGGAATTTGTCACAAAGAACAGGAGTGCGAATAGGTGTCAAAATCAGCACCTCATCACCAGGTTGGAAAGACACAACGCGGTGGGATTCATCATAGATGATCTTCCGCTCGTGCTGTCTCGTTTTAGTATTGATGCGAGCCTGATGGCGAGACTGGGCCAGGCGGGAAATGTATTCTCCACTAGAAGACTGACATGAATTCCCATGGCTGTTAAAGAAGGAGACGTCGAGAAAGGTAGTCGGGGTGCGTTCGTACACGAGGTAAAACGGTGAGTAGGAAGTTGTTCGCTGAACGGCGGTGTTGTAAGCGAATGCCAGGAATGGTAAAAGAGTATCCCAGTTTTTGTGGTCGGGTTGGACGTAAACGGCTATCATGTCTGCAAGGGTTCGGTGAAATCTTTCTGTGAGACCATTTGTCTGAGGGTGGTAGCTTGAAGCTGTCTTGTGAGTAGTTCCAGAAGCGCGCAGTACTTCATTTACCATTTGTGACAGGAACACTTTGCCGCGGTCACTAAGCAGTACACGAGGAGCCCCATGACGCAGTATTATTGCGTGAAGAATAAAGTCTGCAACTTCCACAGCTGAGCCTGTAATAACAGAGGAAGTCTCAGCGTAGCGTGTCAGGTGGTCCACGGCGGTCACTATCCATCGTTTGCCAGCAGATGTGACGGGGAGAGGCCCGTAAAGGTCAACACCTACAACCTCGAACGGCATTTAAGGGCACAGAAATGGCTGTAGAGGTCCAGCAGGTGCAGACGTGGGGACTTTACGACGCTGGCATGGGTAGCAGGAGCCTACGTACCGCGCTACGCTAGAAGAAAGGCCAGGCCAGTAATAACGACGTCGAATGCGGTCAAGAGTTTTTTTAAAACCAGGATGACCAGCAGTCAAGTGTTCAAGGAAGGCTTCGAGCACCTGAAGTCGAAGAGAGCGTGGCAGTACAGGAACCCAGCGCTGACCGTCAGGGTGATAGACGTGGCGGTAGAGAACCCCGTTGTCCAGCTTAAAGTGCAGGAGTTGACGACAGAGTCGCGCGTTAGGTGGATGAGAAACTCCCGAAAGGTGGTCCATCATGCGTCTGCAGTATGAATCGGACCGCTGGTGGGAGATAAATGTTGGCTCGTCGTCCGAAGAGGGTGGCCTTATTGATGCGAGCGTATGAACTTTGGTAGATGTGGCGGTTGAGTTCTCACCAACGCTGATATGGGTAGTTGGAAGCGGGCAACAAGATAAAGCGTCGGCGTCTTGATGTTTTCTGCCTGACTTGTAAGTTATGTCAAAG